ACTTGCTAGGCAGGCACTTCTGCTGCTGAGCTATAGCCCTGGGCCTACAATGAATTCTTAATAAAGACTGTAATAAACTGCATGTCTTTGTCTGCTGTCTTTATAGGCTGTTGAAAAGAATGACTGAAGAGGAAATTGATAGAAGCTGCAGAGCATGCAGGCACCTCTAGCAAATGCCATTAGCTGTGGCGGCGGGGGCGGCGGCGGCGGGCGGCCGCGTGGGGAGGGAGGGAGCAGTCGTGACCAACTTTTTCCTATGCTGGTTTGGGCCAGCCCTCATATCTTTGAACCTCAGTTTTCATCACCTGTACCAGGAAGGGTCTGCTAGTCTGTCCTGTAGGCAGTACTCTGCCAGTCAAGGTTTTTCTTTTTCTATCACTAGACAATACCCATTTTTAAAGTTCTTGCTAAGAAGTTTGGTTTTTGATGAAAAAGAACTACTATATTATTTTTTATGGAAAAATTTATGTTATAGACTAAGATTTTGATTAAGACCACAATTTTACTTTAGGAGTAAATCATAAATCTTTAAGAGGAATAATAAGTGAGGGCAGTTAGAAATGTATTCAGACTTTTCTGAGTGATTTCTTTCATATATCAGGACTTCTTGAATTAAAGTAATGCAGCATGGTGCTGTGTACATGTAAACATAGATTCTGCATGCTTATTGTTCTTACATAGCTGTGTGCCTAAAGCAAATTCAGAAATTAAACATACACAGACCTTTTTTTTCATGTGTTTAGTACAGGATCTACAGGGTCTCACTACACAGATCAGACTCGTAATGATCCTCCTGTTTTCAGCCTCCCAAGTGCTGGGGCATACAGGCGCACACCACCATGCCTAGTCTTACATACAAACCTTTTAAAACCAAAAATTTAAAGGAATGTTAATTGAATGTGATGGATGAAACTATTTGTAAAGGGGGAGGAGAGCTATAGATTTTTTTAAACTTAGTTTTTTATTTAATATTACAGTCACCTTGTTCTAATACTGTCTGTCCAGTTTACATTCATCTCACCTCCAGAAGAGATAATCTGACCATGTATGCAAATGCAAGTGGTTGTACACTGAAGTTCCCATATTGTTTCCACTTATAAATTGGAGATGATTTTTTTTTTTTTTTTTGGTGGTTCCAGGGATTGAATTTAGGACCTTGTTTTTACCAGGCAGGCATTTATTCTACTGAGCTATCACCCTGGCCTGAGATTTTTATTTATTTTTTATTTTATTTTTTTTTTGGCCCTGAGATTTTTGTATTTTGTTTGAAAACTGCAGTTCTAGTAAAAATATGTACCATAATTTATTTAACCAGTCCTTTATAAATATTGGTGGGTGTCTTGGTTGTTTCTGGTTACAGTATTATATTGTTGTAGCAAATACCTTTGAATCCTGTATATGTGTCTCAGGGCACGTTCTTAGGCTGTGCACCCCTGGTCTGTGCTGTGCGATGTGATTGTAGGGCTTCTTCTACGCTTTTCCGTCCCAGAACTACAGCTGTGCTTGTGTTGGACCCTTTGACCTTCCCCATGCATTCTTTGGTCAGCGTATCCCTCTCTGAGTTACCTATTAATCTGGCAGCCTTTATGTTTTTCGTATGCTTTGAGAAACACTGTCTGGTAGGTTAATATACAGTAAGATTATCATTGCTGGCTACAGAAAACTAGAAGATTGCTGCAAACATTTTGGTGGAGTGTTAATATGAAATGTAGCATTAAGTGGCACAACCTTATTTGTTATTTGTATTTCAATTATTGGAAATGTGGGTTTCTTTTATACTTTTCAACTTTCTTTCCTTATGTTTAGGGACATGGTTTATATGGGATAGGAGAAACTGTCCATGTACCATTTCCATTTGATGAAACAGAATTACAAGGAGGTACTTTTTGAATTATATCCATTTGACTTTATCATTAATTATGTCAACAGTTTCGTGGAAAATGTGGCAAGAATGAATTCTTAAAATTTTTACGTTGTAGATTCTTACATTCTGCTATTATGGAACATTGATAAAGGGTATATGTTGTTAGGTATCACTTTCTCAATGAGCTGAAAGACTAATACCCATTTAGGACTTTTGAAAGAACATTGTCATGGAGGTAAAGAGAATAACTAGATGTTTGGTTAGATGGAAGACTAAATTTTCTTTTAAGCTTTTGATTTCTTTTATTGTTTATTTGAAGGTTGAGGGAGAAGACAAGCCATAGGGAACATTTTATGTTTAGAAAATTTTATATTTTCCTGTATTATATAAATTCCATTTCAGAGGCTCTTTAAAGTATTCACTGCAGAGTTTTCAGTATCATGAAGATACCTCATAGAAACTGCTGCTACAGTTTTAATGGCTTATGTTTTAATTTTTAGTCAACTTTAAAAAATTTATGTAATTTAAAAATGATTGCTAATGAATATTTTCATTATTCAGTTGTCCTTTAATATCATGGGAATTGGTTCCAAGAATCTCCCACACAGGGAATCTCAGATTTTACGAATGCTCAAGCTCCCTATATAAAATGGTACGATATTTGCATATGCTTGCATATATTCTCTGGTATACTTAAAAATAATTTCTATGTTACTTACGCCTAATACATTCTATATAAATGTCGTGCTATACTATATAGGGAGTAATAGTAAAGGGAAAAGTCTGTATATGTTTAGTGCATATTTTCAAATACTTTAGATCTGTGGTTGGTTGACTGTGGATGTAGAACCCTGAAATAAAGCAGGTTAATTATATTCAAAAGGAAAATACTGTTTGATTGACACATATAACACTTTTGTTTCCTGCTTCATGCAAAAACAGCTTCATAGTACTCTTTTTCTGATTTCTAGAGCCATATTAATAAATTTTACTTTATTATTTTATTTTATTTTTTAATGTAATGTAATGTAATTTAATTTATTTTTATTTACTTTTTTGACAGAACTGGGGATTGAACTCAGGCCCTTGTGCCTGCTAGGGAAGCGCTTATTCTACTGAGCCATCTCCCTGGCCCCCATGTTAATGAATTTTAGAGAATAGTGAATATTTCAAATAATGTACTATTCTTCCAAAAGATTTTTCTTCTTTTTGGCTTTTTTAAGGCGGGGTTTCCCTGGGTAGTCAGGCTGGCCTAGAACTCACAGTGATCCTTTTGCCTCAGGCTTCGCACTGCTGAGGTTGTAGTGTGTGCCACCATACCCTGTTTCTTCCAAAATGTTAATCGCCATTTCCTTCTCCCGCAGAAGAGAGGACAGTGAGTTTTGTGAACCCACTTTTCTTTTTACATGGCTAGACTGTGGAAGCCTCATATTTGAAGTTAGGTACTTTTTTCTGCCTGTTGTGAATAAATACGCCTCCATTCAGAAATGGATGCGTCCCTGCAACCTACTTTGGTGTTGAATCCTCTAATGCCTTTTTTAAATTTTTGGTTGTTGTTAAATTCTAAGGTAAAAATAATTGTTTGCTTGAATATGCTGTATAAGGTAATGATAGCAGGATCTTAAATTTTATAAAATACTGAGAAATAATTATCTCAAGAGATGATTGTGCGAATTATAAAGAAAAAGCGAAGTGTGATGGCACATGCTTATAATCCCAGCACTCTGGGCAGCAGAGGCAGGGGCATCCCAGGTTGGAGCCCAGACTGGAGAACTTACGGATTTAGTGAGACTCTGTCTCAGAATGAAAAGTAAAGGCCGAGGGATGTAGGTCAGTACAAGGGCTCTTGCATTTAACACCCAACACTGAGAAGAAAGGAGGCATCTTCATATTAGTATACAGAGCCTCTTTCTCATTTATACATTCACATATTTATGAAAATTCCAGCTAATTCTAAGTAATGTCTTAGGCATATGATCTCATGTCCATTGTTAGCATCTCTTCATATGAATAACTACTTAAATTTTTTAAAAATATGATTTGTATTTAATGCGTTTCCTGTAGAAGCCCACAAATAAGTATGCAAGGCAGGATACATCCATGAAGATACGTCCATAAAGATTTGCCACAGATTGGCCCAGTGCGCTTACTTAGCAGGTAATGCCTCCGGAAGACTAGCTACACTACATGTGGGGAGGTTTGTGTGTTGGTTTTGCAACCACATATATTTCTTCTTTGGATTCATTTTTGATAGATTAAAACATACAAGTAATTCAGAGAATTGTTTAGTAAAAGCATATTCAACCCTCTACCTCTTCCTGCCATAGGGGTTGAACCCAAGGCTGCTTCACTCAGGCACTGCTTCAGTAATTACTCTACCGCCCACCTTTTCAATTTTGAGAGAGGGTCTCACTAAATTACCTAGCAGTGAAGGAAAAGAAAGAAGTATGAAGATTCCCAGTAGTCATTCTGCCTCAGCCTCCCAGAGTGCTGGGAGCGTAGGTGTGTGTGCTGCCACACCCCGCTTTGTAGCCTTGTCTTCAAGTCTTTGCTGTTGTGCTATAAGAATTTTCACTAATGTGTTGTCCTCTCTCTGTTCTTAGAGTTTACTCGTGTCAGTATGGGTGTTCATAAAGCGCTGCAAGCATTGAGGAACAAGGTGGACTTGCAGCACTTCTGTGGCTATGTCACCATGTTGAATGCTTCTAGCCAACTTGCAAGTAGAAAACTCAGTGATGCTTCTGATGAGAAAGGTTAGCCAGCTGCTGGGGTCTTTGAATTAGATGCCTGGGTTTTAGCTTCAAATAGTCTTAATATGTATTTAGGAACATTCAATCATGATTTTTTAATTGAAGGTTAAGACAATATTCTGTAGCATTGTTTGGACAAATGTCTGCTGTATGAGTGGGCAAATGCGGGGGGCACAACTGAAGCAGTGATGACCTTGGGCTGTATGCAGAGTGGCTTTTGGGCTTTAGCTTTTCTTGCCATATCTGTGTTTACAGGCTTTGAATGAAGTTAGCCTTATGGGGCAGTGGGCTCACAACTCAAGTGACTAAAAATGTTTCCAAAGTGAACTTAATAGCTGGTTGGCCTTGTTCTGTGAAATTAGTCATCAGAAATGTCTTTCATATCTATTTTTCTCCCACTAACTCTTTTTTTTTTTTTTTTGCTCCGAATGCCTTCAGGGCAGGTTTGGCTGGCTTGAGTTGTGGAGATCGAACCACAGCAACCTGAGCCTGACTGCTTTGTTGAAGCAGCCACTGAAAGAGCTGAGCTAGGGCCAGGCCCCCTCCCCCACTCATTCTTGAGTCCTTGTAGCTGCTGATCTAGTCTGGATCTTGCTACCTTAAATAGGTATTGTTACAACCATTTCCTGTTTGGTTTTCCTGTCCTCTTTTTCTTTTCTCCAGTCTGCCCTACACATTCACAGTGGCCTACTATGCCCTGTTCTTTCTTGCTGAATTCCCATGTTCAGATCACTTTTTTGTGTGTACTTAATAGTTTCTGCTTTGGCATAATATTTGCTTGCATGCGCCTTTTGTTGTTGCGGTGCCAGCTCTGGTCCTCTGGGAGACCTTTGAATTCAGATGTCTTGTCACTGGTTGACTATTCCATGAGCCCCTTGGAAGTGCTGAAAACATGTGGTTGGTTTGAGCACTCATAGGGTGGAGTTGGTTCACTGAGTTAGATGTCTGCTCCTGGTCCATTGCGTTTTGGCCAGAGTTATTGGGTAGCTTTCAACAGCTGGTGCTACAAGAGCCTTTTCCAGAGAAGAAGGCATTTCAGAGAGTGTCTGCTGTAGCTGTCATTTCTCACATCATTCATTCCTCAAACATGTGAATAGTAAATACCTGTTTAATGCTGGAGAAAACCGGTAAGACCTCCTTTTATTCCAAGAGATAAAACCCTAGAAGGAAACAGACAAGTCAGCCGGCTGCAGGGAGGTGTGGAGAGACTGGTGGGGGGGTACCCTGATGAGGACAGACAAGGGGAGGGTCCCGGAGAAGGCGTGGTGTGCACTGTGAGGAGTCAGTGGGACGAAGAGCACTGTGGGTTTTGATTTTGTGTTAGTTTTTAGGGTGGCAGCCTGAGGCAGAGGACATTAGGATACATTAGATTAGCATTATTTGCATTTCAGGCTGGATAGTTCTTCATTTTGGGGATTGTAATGTGGTAAGATGTTTAACTTTTCTGGAAATCAGGTCCCTCTTGTTCCTAGTCATGACAGCCAGACTTGTTTCTTGACATAGCCACATGTGTTTTGGGGCAGGAAAGATTGTTCCCCTGGTGTGGAACCACTGGTTTAGGCTCCAGGTTACTCCTTTCCGTCATTGTCAGCAGCAGCATCACTGTTGCCTGAAGTCTTCTTTATGTTAGGACTGAGCTACTAACAGCTTCTGCTGAGTACCAGACTTGACTCCTAATGCTGTGCATATCCTTTAATTAAAAGGGGAACCTGATTTGGCGTCTGGCTCCGACGTGAATGGAAGTACAGAGTCATTTGAAATGGTGATTGAGGAAGCAACTGTAGATTCAGCAACAAAACACAACTCTGGTAAGGTGCTAAAAATGCCTCAAATACGTATCAAGACTAATTTATGAGGCTTAACTTTCCTGCTAAGTTACGTACTTTTTTTTTTGTTGTTCTGGTCCTATCAACCATAGTGGACTTTTAAATACGAATTTTCTAAGAAACATTATTATATACCTAAAGTAGTGACTTCAAGCACTGTAAAATTATAAACTGCAAATAAGGGCTTCAAGTGTCCTTACGCATCAGCGGTCAGTGTTCTGGTTCTCTGTCCTCATCTTGCAGATGCCTTGTGTACCCTTGCCTGGCAAGTGACTTGAGTGTTGGCTGAAAATTGTGTCCCCATTTTCTAGGCCTGGATACACCTTCGAAAGACATCCTCGTCTGTTGAGAGCAAGCCCCCGTCCCCTTCTTGTCAAGCCCAGTGGGTCCCTGGGGCCGCAGTGCTCAGATGCTGCCTGAGTTGGAAGTAAATTGTTTGTCGCCTTCTAGGTGCCACCACAGAGGCAGAGTGGGTTCCTCTTGAGCTCTGCTTTGGAATTCCACTGTTCAGCTCCGAATTAAACCAGAAAGTTTGTGGGAGAATCGCCACCCATGGCCTGTGTAGAAAAGAGAGGTACGGACTCACACTCTTCACCATCTTTCTGTCTGCTTGGTTTTAAACTGTCAGTGAGCAGTTGTGCTTTCTTTTATTCTGCACATGAGCATAGTTATTTTCCTATGTGTATTTGTTGACTAAAGAATGCTAAGTTAATGGTTTTACTGTATTTTAAAAATTACAGTAGGTCAGTAGTTAGTCACAGCAGACATTTTGGGGACATGTTGTGGTTAAATACATTTTCTTTGTTACGCAGATTTGGTGAGGGTGTGAAAAACGGGCATGACTATATGATATGTGAACCTCGTTTTAAAATTTGATGTCTTGTGCCCCCAACCCCACCTTAGTTTTGTGGTACTGGACTTGACCTGAACTACATTGCCATATGTTTCCACCCTTTTTATGTTTTGAGACAGTCTCACTAAGTTGCCCAGGCGGGGCTTGAACTTGTGATCTTCCTGCCTCAGTCTCCTATAATGTTGGGATTACAGGTGTGTACCACTGTGCAAGGCTTTCTTTCAGCATATATGTACTAGTTATACTACTAAAGTTTGTCGCTGGTGTAGAATTATGATGACTTTATAAAAATTTCTTTTTTTTGGATTTTAGAGAAGGGTTTACAGGGTGTTTAGGGTCTCACTGCTAGATCAGACTCATAGTGATTGCCTGTTTACAGCCTCCCAAGTGCTGGGATTAGAGGCGCGTACCACCACACCTGGTCTCAATTGCTGTCTCAGCGCGCCCTGGGGTGTGGCTGGCACGACAGGCCCAGACATCCCAGACATCGAACCCCTGCCTAATCTGCTGAGCTATTTGGCCAGCCCAGATATCTTTTTTTTTTTTTTTTTTTTTTCAATACTGGGGATTGAACTCAGGACCTTGAGCTTGCCAGGCAAGCACTATTCTACTGAGCTATTTCCCTGGCCCTATACAAATTTCTGTACTTTTTGTTTTCTAAGGTGAACATGAATTGCTTTTCAGAGAGAACACACAGGTATTACATCACATTTCTCTCCGGTCCTTGAGAAGCAGTGTCTGTATCCAGGTGTCACTGCGGGTGGCCTCGAGGGGTGATAATGCACCAATCTCGCGGGCATTTCTACTTAGGAAAGCAAAGTTGGACAGCAGATAATTCGTATGGATTGGCATAATGTAGCTTATGTCAAATCAGTTGATCATTTATTTGAACAATTCTCTGTAAATGAAGTAACATGTAAGGCAAAAGTGTGGTGGGGGGCAGCCAGATAGCTCAGTGGATTAAAGTGTCTGCTTGGGCAGACACAGGGACCCGGGTTCAACCCCAGCATGTGCTGCTGGCCCCATCCCTGGGCTACGCTGAGATGATGATCTAGACTGGTGACTGAGACTGGGTGTGGCGATGTGCACCTGTAATGCCAGCGTTGGGGAGGCTGAAAACAGGAGGCTCACTATGAGTCCGATCTATGTAGGAGACCCTGTGGACCTGTACTAAATACATTTTTTAAAAAAGTACATGAGGCTGACAAGATAGCTCAGTGGACTAAAGTGCCTGCTTAGGCAAGTTTAGGCGAGTGCAGGGGCTTTGGTTTAATCTCCAGCACCACATGCCGCACCAGCCCTGACCCCAGGGCTGCCTGAGCAGGCCAGAGTTTGGGCAGGCATAGTGGTGCAGGCCTGTAATCCCAGCGCTGGGGAAGCTCAGAGCGGGAGGATCACCACGAGTGAGAGCTTCATAGGGAGACCCTGCAACAATCAGATACATTTTTTTTTTTAAAGTGCAAATACTATAAAATGTAAAGATTACTGCCTATTTTACTGATTTATGTATGGAAATTGGTGTATTTTTTCTCAGATTGTCTTTTAAAGTTCCTTTGGAAATTTGATTTTGTCATAGTTTCATCCTTCAGAGTAAAGAGTTAAATCTTATTTTAAAAGTTTTATTCACTTAATGTTAGTATTTAGTAGCAGTTTAAATACCATTTTAAAACAGTTACTTCAATTTTGGTTTATATATTTGAAAATTAATTTTTGTGTATTACTACTGCCTATTAAGGTAAAAAATTTTTATTAAAACAGTTGAGGGGCTGGAGAGATAGCTCAGAGGCATAAGCACCTACCTGGTAAGCCCAAGGACCCGAGTTTAACCCTGGGTCCCACATGCTGTGCAATCTTGGCCGGGAACCAGGTGTGGTGGCGCATGCATGTAATCCCAGCACAAAGGACATTGAGCCAGGAGGATCTGTGTGTTTGAGACCAGCCTGGTGAGATGTTAGTTCTTGCCATTTCATTTAATCCCACCCCCGTTTCTTTTTTCAGCCTTCAAAACCTCCTACATTCCAGCAGAAAACTCTCTCTACAAGTCCTTAACTTTGTTCACTCATTCCAGGTAATAAAGAGTTAAAAATCCAAATTGTGTAGTGCTTTATAGTATTTGGAGCATTTCCAGGGTTGTGAGTCTGCATGGCAGAAAGATGAAATAGTCATTAATATTACTTTATAACTGAAAACTTACAGTTCAAGACATGAAATGACTCAGATTTCCCTCACCAGGGCTTCAGACACTCAAGGTTGGCCTCTTTCTCTGATGTCGGAGCTTCAGCCAGCAGGACCGCGTGTGGTGCCTGTCGCGGGTTGTACTCTGTGCTGCGTGCAGGGTCACAGCTGCTGTTGCCCTCTGTGAACAGCTGCAGTGACCCTTCTCACGGCCGCGAAGGCCAGTGCTGAGGACAGAGCAAAGAGCAGTCAGCACTAGCTCTGTAGATAAACTTTCAGAATGAGAGATTTTTATTCAAAATATCTGATTCAGTATTGTGAATTTGTTATCTTAGAGTGTTAGTCCATTCATCCATTCATTCAGTACCAGGTGCTAGGGAACAGTGTTGTGCAAGACACTAATGGAACCTTTAATGTTATCTGAGATAATAGCCAAATACACCCTAAAAGAGGTGGGTACAGAGTGTAGTCAGTACTCTGAAGGAGCCAGGCTAGAATGGACTGTGAACATGGACCTACTGTAAGCAGGTAAAAAACAGTAAAGAGGCTGGAACCCAGCTTGAGCCTGCAGTTAAGTGCAGGTGGATGTTGGATGTAGGAATCTTGGTTTGGTGCTTAGTGTTTTGACAGGTAATTTAAAGGTGGCTTCCTGTTAGAAAGTACTTTGAGATATTCTGTTTATTTCAAAACTTTTTTTTTTTTTTTTTGCGGAACCGGGGATTGAACTCAGGCCCTTGTGCTTGCCAGGGAAGCACTTATTCCACTGAGCCATCTCCCCAGCCCCTCAAAACACTTCTTACAGTCCAATTTGTGTTACCATTTTTGCATATATTACTCCTTGTCATTGATGATTTGGGGCTTGTGAAGTGGATCGTTGTATCTCTAGTAGTGCTTTGTGGTCCATGGAAGTTCATAGGAAATAAGGTTCATATTTCTCACAAGTTACATTAAGTAGGGCCGGGGAGATAGCTCAGTGGAATAAGCGCTTGCCTGGCAAGCACAAGTGCCTGAGTTCAATCCCCGGTTCTGCCAAAAAAACAAAAACAAAAAACAAAAAAAACCATACATTAAGTAGTTTTGGTGTGGCTAAAGTGCTTTGATAATGTTGAATATTCCATGTTTCTCTCATTTCTCGTTCTTTTTAGGAAGGTGCTTCAACACTGGATTTTCACACAGAACCCAGCTTTTCAAGTTTGCTTTCACAGTCATCTTACGCTGATACAGGAGTTCCGCTTCCTGCCAAAAACTTAATATTTAAAGATGGCGTCTTATCTGAGTGGAGTGGACGGTCGCCCTCCTCCCTTTGTATTACCAATCTCCATTTGCAATAACTTGCTCACACCATTTGTTGCTCTCACATTTTGCCTTTTTCCTTTCTTGATGTTAGCTTTATAGTGTCAGCCACTAAAAAGCTGCCTGCTGCTACAGTACGGTTCTTGTTTCACTGATACTAGCATTTGGGGAACGTGTTCATTACTGCATATCCGTACCGCAACAAAGTGCTTTTTAGCAGCCAGCACTGTATTTTTTACCTTGAGACAATCTGCATTTCTTTTGTACAACTAAATATACTTTATAGGCTTTATGATGACTGTTATGTTTATAAGCAGTCACTATGAATATTGCGATGGTGATTTTATATGTTAGTTTATCAGACATAAATCTTGTTTAATTTTATATTTTGTTACCTACACTTTAGGGGATCAAGGGAAGAGATGGAACCCTTCCTCTGAAAGTCTTCTTGGTAGTAGAACTGTAAGACAGTGAACATCCAGTATTGAGAGATCATGCGATGGGGCGTTCAGAGCTTCTGTGGCTGGCTGGGAGTGATGTATGTCACCCAGGCGTTACTGAGGGCCTGCAGGTCAGTCTAGCGCTGCACCTCTGAACCTGGCATTAAGAGGTCTGAACTTAGCCTAGGACCATCCATCGACATCTCACGGGACAAGCTTGGAAAACATTCTATTTTTAAACAGTGTTGATTTGTGGACCTCTGTTGTCATGCTGGCTTGATATTTTCATACCGTCTTTATGGAAAAATAGAATTTATTTTTCTCTCACGGCTGAGGCTGCTGCATGTTTTCACTCTGAGTTGTTTGTTTGTTTTGTTTTGTGGCTTCATCAGTAAGTTGCTACAAATTGAATCTAACGTTTTCAAAGCAGTGGTTGTGATTTTAGATTTGAGTTACATGTTAAAAGCCTTAAGGCCATGTCTTCAGATGTAAATACTTCGGCGATAAACCTACTTTGAAGACATATCCTTAAGCCATCTAAATTTATGTTACTAGTTTTGGAGGAAGTAAACAATTTAAAAGTGTTTCTTGAGTCATGGATTCTTTTAGTATCTGAAAAGTTAATTAGAGTGATTGAACTCGCTTTGTAAACTTCTCAGATCACCTTCCTTGGGAACTTGGTGCAGCACTGTAGTTTAGTTTAGTCCTCTTGTAGGGTAATGGTTTGCTAGTTGAAAACTGTAACCAAACTAACTGTTCAAACAACATATATCTAAAACACTTAAAACATTAGGAATTTGGAAATGTTATAACAACATTTTTGTGATGGTTTTTGTTATTTATAGAATTGATATTTGTGTATTTAACATAATTTCTGGAAATATATGCCTTTCTTAAAACTGTTATCATAACCTTGCATTTAATACCATGGCCTATCTGTAGAACTGAATATTTTGGACCAGATTAACTGGGGCATAGTCAGTACTTCTGTTTGGGATAAATGTGATAACATTTAGTTTTCTACTTTGTTTTGTATAAGGTAGAAACCATATGTATGTTATGTATAACTACAAAAAGGAAAAGTACATACTGCTATTAAAATAATTTCTTATGACTGTGAATCACTCACTTTTTCCAGTAATACTGTACATTCCTAGTGTTATGTATGTATAGAATTTTTACTTCTCAGCTGAAAATTATAAGTATTCCTTTTGATCAGGGCTCTTTGATCTCATTTTATTATGCTTCTTTTGAATTAACTGTTATTTATTCATGTGTTAACCATCTAAGCCCATTGTCATGACATGTATACTAATAAAGAATTGACCATTTGTAATTGTTGACAATGAACGCTTTTGTTGGTGGGCTTGAAGCTTAGGATATGAGAATGATTTGCTGCTATATTACCTTGGAGAGATAACAGAGGAAGAAATAGAACCTAATAATGGTCATGAACTTCAGTTCTGGTTCCTTGTGCTTCTCAATTCCCAACTGAAGACCTCTCTCTCTCTCTTGAGGAGGAAAGAATTTGTGTTTTTGGAGCTGTCAGAAAAATGTGAAATACTGATGTTCATGCTTTCCTTTTTAGTGTCTTTGTTCCATTTGTACTTTTAACTCGTGTGAAGATGCGTCTCTTAAATCTTACAAGTGTTAAACCAGTTCGACAAAGCATAAATTAAAATATAGATACTGTTATTTGCCAAAGAAGATTCATGGAAAATTTCTGCCCCATTGTTTTGCAAATGTGCAAACTAATTTCATTTGGTTTTGTGCCACCTCTCCTTTTCTTTCCCCGAATAGAGCTTAAACCATGGCAAGCATTATTTAGAAATAGGAAAAAAAGAAGAGAGAAGTATGTAAGAGTATAGAATTGAGTAGGGATATGATTACACCTCTCAGATGGTTATCTAAAGAAGGCAGCTTCATAAGGAATACTGATTTCCTTTACAGGAAATCAGATGATTTTTTTGTTCCTCTTTTGGGGGAATATTGTTTTACTTTCTCTGCCATTCATGTTTCCTCTCTGTGTTCAGCATTTCAAATAGTTTGTATTAAACACTTAAAAATATTGAAAGCTGTAACAGTACAATGGATTGTTTTCTGTTATTAGCATTGTACAATGAAATGTATAAAGTGTTGTCAATTTGATTATTGACATATAACTTGTTTACAAATAAACTGTGGTGTTGATCACTTGCTGTGAAGATGTATACGATCTTCTAAATGTTCCTTTTTTAGTTTTAATTACAGCTATCCTTTTCAGTGCTGTGACTTTTCTGTACTTTTCTAAAATCACTTTAACTTTGTAGTAATTTTGTATATGTAAGTTGTGAAGATCAAAGTTAATTCCTTATACCTATAACTGACTGTCTTAGTAATGTTACCACCTTCTACAAACAATGACCCCTCTGTCAAAATTCAGAAATTAACATGGACACAGTATTATTTACTAAATTCGGACATTATTGGGCTTTTACCAGTTTCTCCACCAACATCCTTTAGTTCCTTGACCTAGGCCAGGATATGGCATCATGTTTAGTTATTCATGCCTCCTAATCTTCCCTACCATGTGACGACATCTCAGTGTCTTCATGTCCCTGACACTGAAGAGTACAGGTAAGTTAATCTCACAGGCTGTTCCTCAGTGTGGGCTTGCCTGAGCTTTCTTCAGGCTTATGCTGCGAGGTGGTACGTCCTTCTTGATGTATCCTACCACGGGGCACGTAGTGTTGGCGTGTGATGCTCTGTTGGTGTGAAGTGTTATCTCCTGAGTTCTGCCTGTGTAAATTGTGCATATTAGTGTCTCTTATACTTTTGTCTTTTGCTTTGAAATGCAGAGTGGAGGGCCAGCCAGATAGCTCAGTGGATTAAGTGCCTGCTTAGGCAGATGTCCCCGGCCTGCTGTGCCAGGCCTGCCCCCTGGGTGTGCTGAGACAGTGATTGAGACTGGGCATGGTGGTGTGCACCTATAATCCCAGCGCTTGTGAGGCTGAAAACAGGAGGATCAGTATGAGTCTGTGTAGTGAGACCCCGTAGACCCTGTACTAAATACATTAAAAAAAAGTGATTGCCGTTTAATGTGCTGTGGGAATTGTTTAGGTTTGGGCATGGGGAGTTCTGTGATGTTGGTGCCCCATTGTTTTTTATCTTGCTTCTGGAAGTAGCCATAGACAGAGCCATTTCTCCAAGGACCTTTGATTCTTTTTCATGGAGAATGGATTTAGCAGCTGATGTCTGGGCTTGGGTGTGCTGCTGCTGCTGGAGGGCTATGGCCTCTAGGCCTCTTTAGGGACCAAGCTGGGTGGTAACTATATTAGCTAATATATAGGGGCACATCTCTATAATTACTTGGAAATCTAAGTTACTCATGAGATTATACTGCCTAGCACCTTAGGGTTCATTCTGCCTCTGCTTATTTGTAGCTTGAGTGTGGTCCTTTGTGCTAATGTACATGCGTATTTGTTCAACACTAAAGGATAACAAGTGGGTTTAGAATACATGTGCCCCTGTGAGTTGATCAGACACGGCCTTCAGTTCTTTTCTTGGGGAGGGTCTTTAGCTTTACAGCATTCAGTCAAAACATGTTTTTGTCTGTGTGTGTGTGTGTGTGTGTGTGTGTGTGTGTGTGTGTGTGTTTTAGGGAAGGGTCTACAGGGTGTTTGGGGTCTCACTATTAGATTAGACTTATAGTGAGCTGCCTGTTTACAGTCTCCCAAGAACTGGGATTACAGGCACACGCCACCTTGCCTAGTCTCAATTGCCATCTCAGCGTGCCCTGGTTGTGGGGCTGGCACGGCAGGCTCAGGGATCAAACCCCTGGCACCTGTGCCTGCTTGCAGGCACTTTAATCTGATGAGCTATTTGGCCAGCCTTTGTCTTTTTTTTTTTTTGTCCCCAAAGTAATTTTTATTGGTACATTTTAGGGTGCATAATGATCATATTCATAGAGAAGTTGTACCAGTATGTGAAATAATTGAATTCTCTTTTCTCCCAATTCTCTACCCTCCCTTTAACCCTTTCCCTTCATTTACAAAAGCTTGGTTTTCACTTTCCCTTTTTTCTTTTTTTTAATTTTTACTTTTCCCTCCCTACCTTCTCCCACCCTTTTTGTCCTTATTTACACTTTCAGTTTGTCACACCAGACAAACGGTGCAATATTTACACATTGTCCAATTCACTTAGCATATGGTCTCAAGGAATATCCATTTGCCTAGAAATGTCAGAAGTTCCTCCTCAGTAGTACTTCATTAAAAAACATCTTTTTAAAAAATATCTAGTCATTTGTTGATGGGCATTTGACCTGTTTGCAAGATTGAGCTGTTACAAACTGCTGCTATAAACATGCATATACATTTATTGGTATGATGCTTTTAATTCTTTTGGGAAAATACCAACAAGGGGAATTACTGGGTCAAATGTGATCTCTCCTAGCTTTTTAAGGACTCTCCATACTGACTTCCACAATGGTTGTACCAGTGTATACTCCCACCATCAGTGGAGAAGGGTGCCTTTCCCCCCACAGCCTCACCAGCATTTGTTATTGATTAGTCCTTGATAATAGCCATTCTTTCTGGCGTGAGATGGAATCTCAGCATTTTAATTTGCTGTCTTGGATAACCAGTGATGTTGAGCATTGTTTTCATGTATTGCCATTTCTATGTATTCAGCTGAAAAGTGACTATTTCAAGTGCCAGTTTTTGAATTTGGTCTTTAAATTTAGGGGGTCTCCAAAAATACTAAGACACTTGTAGATTTAATAACCAAATTGAGTAACATAGCAGGATACAAAGTCAACACTCAAAAATTAATAGCATTCACTGATGAAGGTTCTACAATCTGAGGTACAGGATCTCAGGACAAATCCTGAGGGCATTTCACTGACCTTCTCAGACCAAAAAGCTACAACTCTTGTTGCATAGGTCCTGCTTTACCTTGGTCTTAACCATCCAGTAGAAAAGTATGATGTTGAAATATAAGAAATAAAGCCATGCTGTTGGGTTGAGCTGTGGGGGACTCAGGTCAATAATTTCTGACATTGCCAGTTAAATATAAGACCCAATGCTATTATGGGCTACTGGACTCTTTTAGAATATTTTGCTGAGTTTACACACCTATAATA